AGTTTGGTATCCTCGAGTTATCGACTCCAGGGAGCATGGTAGAGAAACTTGACGAGTTTCGTATATAGGTTGGCTGCATTGGATGTAGGTTGAAGTGTAAATCAACCCCTGAGAACTGACGCTCTCTTCGCGTCACTCTTGCCCCCTCATGCTCTTTCCCCATTGCGGCAGTCCCGTCTTGTTCTCCCTCTGGCGTGCGCTGTCGTCTATCAGCTCACACCTCTCGCGCGCTTCTCACCCTTGTTACTACCATCTGCCAACTATTTCGACGATATCGAAACAACCTGACGAAATTTCCAGTCCCTTTCAACCTCTTGTACTCGCGTCTTATAGTTTCGTTGATCCGTAGCAGCCTCGGAGCAACCGATTTTCCATCGCGCGATTCGAGGAGAGAGACAAAAGAGAAAGAGAGAGAGAGAGAGAGAGAAACAAAAATGAGAATAAAAATAAGTGAAAACTAGAAGGGAGAGAGGGATAGGTTTGTGAAACGGGTAGTCAGCAAGAGGGACGAGCGAAAGCGAAAAGGAGATAAAGAGAGGACGGATATAGGGTCCAAGGATAAAACTAGCCACGCTCACTCCGGCACCAGCGGCGGCTCTCCGCGGTTCGAATGAGTTCCGCTCTTCTTCCTTCCGGTCGACAAATTGAAATCGTCAGACCGGGAAAGCTCCACCGAAATCCACGTTCGTGAGGAAGGTGCCAGGCGGCAAGAGTGGAAGAAGAATCGAGGAAACGAGCGGGGAATACGAGGAGAAGACACGAACCCCGGTGGTGGAAAAAGAGAGGTAGACGCCCGGCTGCCGGCGGTCGGAGCGCGAGAGAAACACCGTGGAGGTTGCGGGGGTCAAAGGAGGTACGGGAACAAGCGTGGTCCCAACGTGGTCGTAACTGGCGATGTTGCCTTACCGGACGATATTTCACTCCGTAATTATCTTAGCGTGCAACGCGATAGTGCGAGGCGGCTGCCGGTATTAATGCCCGCTGATAATGTACCAATAGTGTCCTAATGTCCCGTGCCGGGAGACCTGAGTAATAGACAGGCCAAATGCACTGTAGCAACGAGCCGCCTAAGGTATTCGACAGAGTGGATTATTGCTTTCTACTGTATCATTACCGATCCGACACATCTTATCTTTGAAAGAGATAACGATCGTCGTTGTTGTACATAGCGCGCCAGTAATTATGTATCCATAATTTCTCGTTAATCATTAAACACCCCCAAAATTCGCGGTGGAATCTCTTATTCGACTATCATATTACAGCTGAAAATTTCTGCGCAAAGAAAACGTATCGAAAATCATCCCCGATAACTCGATTACATCTCATTAAATTTGCATGACCACTTTACTCAATTAAATGCGGAAATTGCCAGAAGTCTGAGTTAATCTGATTTTAATGATAATACGATTCTATAATAACTTTATCGTCACACATTAACATATCTTGAATGGTTTTATTTCACAGACACAATTTTCTTTCTCATTTTAATGTTCTAAAATGTAGCTAATTATATCATTTTAAAAAACACATATATCTTGACGTTTTGACTAATTTATTTATATTGATTATATTAGTAGTAATATATTAAAAATATACATTATAGTCTACCATATATGTATGATACCATACAATATTATACAGGGTGTACTAAAAACACTGGATATCTTTTTAATCGCAGATTCCTTAGAAAATTTCAAGAGGAAAATTCTAATAAAAAAATGTCGAGGCTATGATAGTTTTTAAATAATAAGCGATTATATTTCACAAATGACAGGTCTGAGATTTCGCGCGTTTAGGCACGGCGACATGACGAGTGATAAAAGTGTTCCTATGTGTTTCGCGAGCGAGCGAGAACCAAAGTCACCGTTTAACGGGACAGAAAATATTTGGGAAGACGATGATCCGGTTATTTTGAAAACTTGAGGATAAAGAGAGGCAGGAGACTAGATTGAATCTAACTGAAAATTCCAAGTTCACTCAGAATATCGGAGATCAACTAAGTCGAAGGATATCAGTCTGATCAAGATGCTCATCATAGTGAACCCCTTCCTTTTATTAATAAGACGTTACACAAAGTTAACAAAAGAAATGGTTAAAGATAACAAGAGGAACAATTAATTCGAGAATGAATCGTTAAGTCTGTTGTGAAAGTTGTCACTATGCTAAAAAGGGCAATATTCGTAGGAACACCTTTATCACTCGTCGTGTCGCCGTACCTGAGCGCGCGAAATCTCAGGCCTGTCATTTGTGAAATGTAATCGCTTATTATTTAAAAACTCTTATAGCCTCGACATTTTTGTATTAGAATTTTTGTCTTGAAAGTTTCTAAAGAATTTATGATTAAAAGGGTATCCGGTGGTTTTAGTACACCCTGTATATGCATACTATTACAAATCACACGTACTAACGTTTATTTCGCGTTCGAAAGTTAAAAAATTGGGAAAGTGTGAGCGAAAGATAGGGTGAAAGAACGAACAAGAGAGTGATGGAAATGAAACAAGAGTAGAAAGAGATTACAAGAAAGACAAAAGGAAAATAAATATACGAACTTTGTAGTCAAAAAGAGACCAGGATACAGTAGAAGAGAAGTTCATGGAGAGAGCAATGCAAGAATGGATGCGCGCGCGCGCGTGTGTGTGTGTGTGTGTGTGTGTGAGAGAGAGAGAGAGAGAGAGAGAGAGAGAGAGAGAGAGAAACGGAGTGAACACACCATCGCGTAAATCTGTGCAAGAGGAGCTAGTACCACTGCGTGCATGTACGTGGGCTGTCCGTGGCCAAACAATGTCTGTCCGAAACAGCCGCGATTTCTCTTATCGGGCATTCAAACGCTAAATAATGGTGCAACCAACTTCTCCTTGGTCAACACCGACAACTCGGCCAGTCGCTTGTCCGACCAGCGCGCGACGGCACAAGCCCCATGAGTAGTGAGCAAAATTTTACATTTCCCCGCCGTTACGGTGCAACTCGGTGTATACGAGCGATCGATCGGAAAACGTGACATTAACAATATCCGTTGTGCGCGTGAATCGATTACTGCTACGGCAAACGAGATTTCAATCCTACTGTAATTAACCTTTCGAAATCTAAATTTCGAAACAAATGATGTATTAAAAAACAATTTGTTCCGTCGTACTAAATCAAGTGAGAAACATCTTAACATTTGTAAAAGTTGTAACTGCCCCGACTGTATGTAAAAGAGCGTTCTCATTATTCACATATTACTGCAAATTCGTGAAGATTTAATTACTTTATGCCAACACCAGACATACGCCATATCTTAGCATACTGACACCATCGGCTTGTGTACAAGTATCTGAACAGGCGCTCAAAGTTCCACGGCTCTCATCCGAAGTCCGCCCTGTCGATACTTGCCTCGCATAATTACTTTAGTGAACAATTTTCACTAACGGCGTCTGCTTTCGTGCGACGTCACGCACGTAGAGCGGGAAGACATTTGCACCCTATATCATGTAAGATCGTGAAACGATAATGAGAATGGCAGGGAATGGAAGGCGAAGTTACTGGAAGGATGCTGTAGCGGTAGCGGTAGTGGTGGTTAGCGGACATCCGTTGAACACATATTTGGTCTGGGATCAGAGAGAATAATCCCCGGGATTACCCCTGGTTTTCACCTCCAATCGTACCCCCATCACTGCCTACATTCGAGCCATCCGCTCATCCGATCGGAATATCGACCATGGATTTAAACGCCTTTCTGCCGAGCCTCGAAATCTCCGGATCGACTTCGGATTTTGTTGGAATGCCACTAGAAATTGCTATGGATAGCTTCGTCTGGAACGACTTTATAACTACGGTGGAAATTTTAAAATGATTCGGTCACTAAAAGCACGTTTGCCCAAGGTGTAAAAATCTCTCCTCTTGTAATATAAAATTGGTTTCTTCATTTTTTATGCAAAAATTGTCTTTCCAATTCCATATAGTGTCGCGCATTAAGATAAACTTGTGGTCTGAAATATTATTTCCAAATCACAACGTATGCTGTTGTTTCTTTTATATGTTTAGGTCTCTATAAATATTTGGTATGGCTATTGAGATTATTACACGACACTGATCAATAATTTATTGATAAAGCAGCGTTTCTCATGACGTCATTCGAATAATAGATAGATAAGATACTGAAATAACTAACACGATAGCAAAATCACTTATCGGTTGATAAATAATGGATATTGACGATCATGGTTTTTCCTAACGTCCGCATCGATTATTCCATAATGCATCATTTGCAGAAAAAAATATCGATTTGAAAGTGACCCAGTTTTTTTTATTTCTTATGTGGGAAACACAGTTCATCAATTTTTGAAAGAGAATTTAAATTGAACCTGTATTGATTGATTGTATCAAGAAATAAATCTCAATGCAAAGCCTCTCGCAATCAGGTATAATATTTACAGCACTTTACGAGGTAAGACCCTCGGCTAAACGACTAAGCCGTTTTTCCTCCATCTGATAACATCTTCCATTCTCTTCTTCAATTCGCTAGGTCAACCAATCTCGATCACAGTATCCCGCGATTCAATCAAAGTTACCTGTTTTGAACCTATGGCGGGTCGGGCAGAATAAACATGCCGCGAATCCATCTCAAAGATTATATTAAATTAAAAGCAACCCCAGTCCCGCATGAATAGCATGCGGATTCGCGTAGTACGCCATTCTCAGGAGCTTTTCGACGAGTGTACCGAAAGAAAATAAGACGATCATACGTGCGCGCGCGGAGCGGTCGTGCCGAATACCACCTTGCTTGGCCGATGAGAAAAAAAAAGAGGGAATATCGTCGGCGAGTAAGAGTAACCAATTTCCTTGCTCTCGGGGGAAAAGGAGGGTGCGGAACGAGGTAGAACGAAAGACGAACGGCGCCCGACTTCGCCGATAAAACGAGGAGGCGGTTGAAACGAAAATCCCCGAACGCGAACGGGAGAGAAATGTGTTAGATGCTAGGCTATTCGTCCGCGCTATCCACGAGAATCAACCCAACAACGTGCTGTTAATTTCTAAAGAGTCTCGGTGCCGTGCGGCAACGACTTCTCTATAGCGTCCTGCGATTTTCATCACTAGGGAATAGCCCTGGCGCCGGACTGCCTGAGGAAGATGAAGGTATAGGGTGCACGAGAAGAGGAAGGTTCTCGGAGCTGCTAGATGTATACTGTAGGGGAAGAGAGACTCGGGTCGATACCTGTTGATACTTCGTTCAAATAAAAGTCAACTTGTACGGTGAGTGGTTTAAAAGTCACACACACGCGCAGCCTGGATAACGTGCTCTTTACCCCTACATCCTCTTTTCTATAGAGTTTCACGGCAGCGGCTGTAGTTTGCGGAGACGAGAAGGTGGTCAGAGAACCGGTATGGAGTACACGGCAAGTTCGAGCGACTTTTGCGGATACCTTTCGCAGGAACGTCTGTTCCTTTTGCCATTTTATTATTTTAACGCTCCTGATACCAACACATCCGCTTTTCTTCGCCTCGACGCGAAATCGAGTTTCGTCCCTCTAATGGAAATCTATAATATGTTACGATTGAAAATCTATTGGAACGAGATTCGTATATAATCTATCATGTTTTTCTTCTTTTAAATATACGTAAATTCTTATTTTCGAATAAATAAAATCAATATTTTCTCGGCGTATGTTCCGAGGAATTGTGAGACAATGTGATTTCAGCACGTTCACAGGTGCAAATTTAGTTTTGAAAATGCTGTAAGATAGACTATGTACTTATATACACGGCATCCATTATGATTGCTATTGCGTCTCTTGCGATCATTGATCTATCGTGTTAATCAGGTATTTAGTAATTGAAGAAGTAATTGTTATATCACAATGCCAAATTGCCTTTAGGGGTTAACATGGTGATTGAAAGCTACACAATACGTTTAGAATGCACTAGTGATTGTAGTGATTGTACGTGCCTGTGAAGCAATGTCAATAGTTTAAAGGATAGTTTAAAGTGAAACAGATGTCGATCACTTGTTAAAGCAATCATTGTCGCATATCATCTCTATCTCGGGAAAGGCCTGCAGCAATAATAAAAGATACTTGTTGGTTATTGAGCGTCACTTAGTGATGCATAATAAAGTTGCTAAATCCGTTCGTAATAAATGCGAGAATTATCCTGGACAGGAGATTTTACCCCAGTGATCATAATTTTAAATTTAATCAATCTCCCCGTATATCCCTCTTTCAATTAATAATCCACCGAGTAACGACTATGTCTCGAACTGAATGTCGATATCCGCGAGTTTTTGGATCGATCCCTTAATCGCTTCCTCTGTCAAATCCACTTCTCTCAATTTACGGGAATTGTTGCAGCACTTAATTCGCCGGACAGTTTTCCCCGCAGATGCTGCCTGCTCCACTTCCTCTTATCCTTCTTCACGCAGGACGAGGAAGGCGAGCTCTGTGCGGGCAAGTCAACCGGATGAAACTCATATTCAATATGCTTTGATCACTTCCCCACGGAGATCCGGGATTCACCCCCCGGCTACGAAGGATGGATGCACATCTTCGTAGACCGCACTGATATAGGAAGGATTAAAATGCAACCAAGCTCCGTCTCTCATTCTTCGCCACAGCTTCTAAAGCATTCTTGGATATTAAAACTGCGAAACAATCGCAATGTCGAGATGAATAGACTGTGTTGATGCAACAAACTCCGAATATGTATATTGTCGTGACCAAAAATCATACATTGTGCACACGAGGTCTCTTCTGTCATAAATTTTATGTGAAAGCGGATAACGCTGACAGAAGACAGCGCGAATTCAAGTTTGCTTGAATAGGATTTACATTCAACCCTATATTTTTTAATAAGCTTTACATACATACATACATACATACATACATACATACGCTGTCAGTTTCCTATATCAGCGCTCTACCTTTTTTTTATTCCCTTCTCTTTCAAATGGTACATGTATATGTTTATATTAAAAATTTTATATTGTTAATATCACATTTGCTAGAAATGACGGTCTATAATTTACATGTTTTGGCTTCTTCTGAAAAATTTATGAAAGCAGTTTTTTTTATGAAACCTGCATCTGCCACAGAAAAATCCCTATTTTATAGCTCATACATAAAATATATGTTATAAACGTATATGTATGTACGTTTTCAATTTAAATGAGTAAGCTTGAATTAAATTTTATATACTAACAATAATATATAAATAAAAGTGTAAAACATTTATCAGTTTAGGGCCAATATTACGATTAACAGAAAAATTATCAAGAGAAAATTTGTGAAAAAGAGAGACGTATTTTTAGGAAAACCCTAATAATTATAATTTCATTAAATATATTTCATTCTAAATAACACAACAAACATTTCGTTATATATATGACATGAAAGTTGTTTAATAAAGAAATGTGAAATTTTATTCTACACGTATCTTAACAAAATTCTATCGATGGCGTGAGTCTTTTTCACGTAAATATTATTTCACACCTTTGAGTGAAATATCGAACAAATATTGCACGCACGTAATATTATCGGAAGTACCGCATCTTATCCGTAAACATCTTGAAAGTAATTTGTACAAAGAAAATCTCAATAGTCGAGTATTATTCTTGTCTTAATAAAACTTATTACGGGTGTAGGAGCTGAGGTGGTGTAGTCTATTCAATTGCTCGAGCATTTTACCACGGCATCCTCATTAAAAATAATCAATATTACGATATTAACAAATGCCCTCGCGACTTTACGTGTTGCCCGTCGTCGTCGCGACTTCACCGCACTTTCCTCGTTTCCCTCTTAAAAATCAATACGCCACACCAGTCACACCACATCGCGGAATTATAGAAGGCACTTTTAAATGCGGCACGTCAACTCGCAGATTCGCAGTGGAAATAAATTATACCGTTCGTTAAATCGTTAGCTGCCGAAACAAGAATGTTATGATATATAGGGATAATAATTTTTTAATTTCTTGCACTGTACACGATGTGCATATTTATGATAATTTATATAATTTCCCCTCGTCTGACTGTGCATTTATGTTATCATATTCTTTTTCTCTGCAATATGTATATTCTATACGAATTTCAATCTCGGATTTTATCGATGAACAGTAAATCACGCTTTGGCTATTCGTGCATAAATTTATTGATGCGCCTGTGCGGAAAACTACAGATGAAAAACAATACGGAAGAAAAGTTTTTGAACTGTGAATAATACGGGATTCAAAATTATGTCCATTGTTTTATGATGACGAAATTCATGGATGGGAGCGAAAGCGGAGAATTCAATTTTCCGGGGCGAGAATTCTGGCACCCTCTGCAATCGTTTCCTGAAATACACTCTACGTTGACTGTAAAAGCCTGAAGTAGACAATTTTTCTCTTTCCGATAATCTTTTAAATTCTATATGCCCTTGCTTTTCTCTCTTCTACAGATAACTATCTAATGAGAAACTCTTATACACGCGAATATATTATTAACTCGTAAGAATATTTTGTTAAGTATAAAAAAGTAACCTAAATTGATGTTTGCAGCATACGTACGGAAATTTTATTTAGCAACAATATGATTTGCCTAGTTATATAAAAATGAGAGTAACTTATGTAAAGTGATATATTTAACAACACCTATTGTATTCAAATTGCAAAGCCAATTAATTAATTCGCGCAATTTTTGCCACTTGCAAAACCTCTTTTGTGCTGCGCATTATTCTCCTGTGGAAAAATTGCCTAGGATTCAGTCACATCTCTTCCGTAGCGCAGCATTGGTGTCGCCTATTTCGAGTGGAAATTGTCGGTCCGCGGGTCGACCCAAATAAAAAGGAATCGCGCATAAATTAATTCGCCGAGTCGACCGGGGAGTCCTTTTTCTTCCGCCACATTGGAAGAGCAGACACGTTAACTGGCGGAACCGAAAGAAGGGTGGCTGACGCCCAAATCGGCTAGGACCCGTTGGTGTGGTAGTCGGAAGTCGGTGATGGTGCTGGTATGTTGGATGTCGAAAACGGTTCAGGTCGAAGTGGAAAGGGGCGGTAGAGGGCGAACTCGGTGGGTTGGCGGCAGGCCATAAACCTTTCCCCGCGTAATCTGGATAGCTTTATAGATTTCTAATAAAATAACGCATTAAATCAGGCGCGGTTCGACTGATTGGGCCACCGAACGAAATCGGGTCTACGCTCGTGACGTGCACGTATTGCAATCGAACCGACATTTATTATCCCGTCCAACGACCACTAAATATTGGATGATCTTCCGCACGGATAGAAAGCACACATAAGTGCTCGGTGAAGGTAAAAACGAAGGATTTCCCGGATGGTAGCAGGTGTATCCAATGCTCCAACAATATTCATTGTTGGAATTTTGTTTAGGAGATAGACGACTCACCTTTCCGTGTTTACAGAACGTTTCTTATGAGCTAAATACAGATTGAGCTGAAATTTTATAGCATCTTACCCGTCCTCTGAAGCTGTCGATGCAAATATTTGCATCTGTCTCCTATTTTGCAAAATTTGCATTTACAGGCAGCTCGATAAACATTGAAATGTAAACTGTACATATGCGGATTAGATACACACGTTATTGGACGCGTAAATAATATTATCGAATATAGATTAAAACCATTATGTATATTTTACTTGGATATAATAAAACAAAAATATAAAAAATACAAAAGTATCAAAAAATAACAATAAATTGTTTTAATATGCAATTCAATTTATTCTTCTATTTGTCCTCTTGTGTAACGTGTTTTATTGAATCGCAGTGAGCGGAGAAAAATTTACATTTGCTGCATAGGTAAACACACGACATTTATACACATGTGTATTTCAATATTATTGCAGTACATTTATAGTTGCCCGTTATTATAAACATTATAAACCTTTTCCATCAGCATATAAACACGCTGCCAATTTTTTAACAGAATTCATTTAAAACTTTCTATTCAACACGGAGGGAGGGAGTATTAGTACACTATTAGTTATATCGATGATATCATTATTAGAAGTGCTGAAACTATACTGATTGAAACATTTTGTACAATTATTCCACGAAACATTGAAGAATATCAGCGATGGAAAATTAAAGAAATGGAAATCTTACCGGTAAATTTTTTAATAGAAGCTATTGAAGAAATATATTTATTTTCATCGTGTTACATTTATACACTTTTCTTCCCTTCTCTTTCCATTTCTTTTTCTTTTTACTTTTTCTTTTTTCTTTTTTCTACGTCTTGAAATAAGAAACTTACTTCTTTCCAACTTTTCCTTTCACTTTCTTGGATTGAAAAAAATAATCTTATTGATTTGACGACATCAATCAATAAGTATTGTCTAACATCCTGAATCTAATTTTGAATTCTTCTTGGGTCTTAAGACTCTAAACTGGTTTATACTTTAAACAAGGAACTTTTTGTCTGGTACTTAAATTTTATTTTATCATTGCCTTACCCACCCAAAATCGAGTTTGAAATTTTTTCGTTCAAACAGAAAATAATATCCTTTAATGATATTTTAACGATCAGCTGTTCTATACTTTCATCAAGGAAATTGAAACAAGACAAGATTTATTTTAATGGAGCTTAGATACCTTCTTCTCCTCTTTTTTTTTCGCTTAAATTGACAAAGCTTAGGATGAAGTTGAAAGGAAGATTTAAGGTCAATTGTGTAAATCGTTTCTTATATTAAATATCACTCTAACGATACAATGAATAAATGGATTGCTATAAAATTAATAAACAGAATACTTTTATATTCATAGAATTACAACAGCACGTAGGAAGAAATTAATATATTCAGTTGTTAAATTTCTATTTGCGATGTTGGAATCTTCGCGAAGCAGAATAGCAAGTTGTTCACAGGATTCGAGGTCCAGAACGATTATCGTCATACTGCTCAAGTGTAAATTCACTTCAAGACGAAATGCACGCGCGTGAATGGATGAAATAAATTCCTGTATCAAGATTCGGATAAGTGCATTCCAAGCCACGAGCACGCTTGCATGAAATTCAACTAAGAACACGAGCCATAGTTCTTGTTTCGCTGTTATATCTGTTCTGAAATCGATCGCGCGCGAGCTATACGAAATTCTCAAGAAAATTGTGAGTATATATTTCCACGTTGTATTTAATATATCTCGACTAGTCAAAAATATATTAAATTATATGAGAT